GGTTTGAAGGATGGCTCTTTCTAAAAATGAGATGGATATTTACTTGTGTCGCCATCTAGTGTCCGATTCTAAAGACTTATTGATCCATGTAAACATCTATGCGCTACATAAACAAAATCAAAAATGTCAACCAATGCACATAGGAGACCTAACGAGACTCCTACTCTACTGTCAAACACAATTTGCACAAAAATTTCCATTCGCGATAGCGTACAAATTGGATTTACGAAAAAGTGTCTCAAATGGTCCAAAAACATTCTGTTCAAAACAAATTCTGCATGTGTCTAAAGATGAACCAATCTGTCTTCGAACAATGTATCGTGTTTCATGGACTAAGTATGAAGATAAGGCTTCTAGAAAAAGCAAAAAGTCCGGTCGTATTCCCAATTTAAGTGCTCAAACTTTTCAAAACTGCCATTAAGTGCCAAAAACAGTACATTCAAATTTGAACCAAAACAATAGATTTGAACACGATCATTAGGAATCAGCAAAATAGGTAACGAAAAAATTCCTAATAGTGTCAAAAATTGGCTGTTCAATTCGCCTCATAGCATGTTGCACTGAAAAAATCATCATTTTGGATAGTGAAACATTCATCGCTATATCGAACCATGAATGAAGTGCAAGTGGTTTCTTTTGCATTGATTATGTTAGGGCACTACTATATAAGGCTAGAGACGTCGACAAACCTAACTTTGATAAATGGGTGTTTGTATGGTACGATCTTCTTCGGAAGGTGTTTTAGAGCCATTATTCGAGAATTTGGTGCTGAAACGTAAGGTAAAACCTCCATTACATGCTCCATTATCAACCAAATATTGTTGAAATCGATAGAATTATAACCAAATATTGTTGAGAACTATCTGATTAAGGCCGAAATTGTGTTTTGCAAGCAGAAAAAACCACAATAATGGCTCACTTCTTAAAAAATAGCATTTCCATGAAAAAAGAACCATTTTTTAAAATTCACAAAAAGACACCAAATTAATTATTTCTCGTCTGTTTTTGGATGTATGTTATAGGCGAAATTCCAAAATACTTGAAACGAGCAACAATTAGTTGGATGGATTGAGAAAATGTTGAAAGAAATCGACAAATCGGTCCGCCAAAGCATGATTTTGATGGTTCGACGCATACTGAGAAAAATCGAAGACAATGGCCTGTTCAGTGTAAAGTGAATGTGCTATTCGATAGCCTATGAATAACGGCTTATACCAATAAAAACGAATTTAATATTGTGTGTTTGTTGTTCAAATGGCATACGTCTGAATTTGTGCAAAGACTTTATGGACATACACGGGGAGGAAATTTTTTTAAGCGTGATATAGAAACACATATTGTATTTTTAAATGACCATATTTATTATACAAAGTAGTCTCCATGAACACGAATGACACTTTCATATCGATGCTTCAATGCTTTAATTCCTCCTTCAAACCACTCGGCATCTTTGTCCTCCCATACGTTGAAAATTTCGTTCGATATCTCTTCTTCGGACTCATATTGCTTCCCCTTCAGATATCTTTTGGTGTTTGGGAACAGAAAATAGTCGCTGGGGGGCAGATCTGGAGAATACAGTTTTTTACCAGGAAGCTTTTCTCTGATCGCTTTACGCAATCTATGTATTTGTTTTGCATAATAATAGCCCGTGACTGTGGTATTCTTTGGAAGGAATTCAACCAATAATATGCCTTTGGCATCCCAGAATACAGAGGCCATTACTTTTTTTGTGGCAATTTGTTTGCGTGGCACTTTCGATGCTGGTTCACCACGTTTGTGCCATTCCATCGTCTGTGATTTGAGCTCTGGATCATAGTAGTGGATCCAGGTTTCCTCGCCAGTCACTATTCGCTCAAATGTGTCCGTTTCATTCCATTCCAACAACTCGAAAAACTCGTGTGCAGCAGAAATTCGTTCTTCTTTTTGGGATTTGTTCAACGTTCTTGGAATCCATCGCGAGCAAACCTTTCTCAAAAAATGTGCAATTTTTCATGAAGTATGTTGTAAATACTCTTCTCTGAGATGTCAAACATTGCTGCTAACACTTTCTCGCTCATTCGAGCTTTCGTGCACGTGATGTTCAATTTTTTGCACTACATCTGAAGCTGTTGCTTCAATTGGTCGACCTGTATGAGGATCATCTTCCAATGATTCTCTACCCCACTTGAATTGTTTTGCCCATAGTTTTACTGTGGCATACGATGGGGCAAGGACCCCATAAACAGCACGCAAACGATCATTGATATCCTTTGGTGCCACACCTTCTTTTGTGAGAAACTTAATCACCGCACGATATTCGATTTTATCCATTTTTTCAAAAATATCGAGGTTACTTGGTATGCAATGATATTGAAAACAAACGACGACAGATATCAACTCAATTTTTTTCTGCAATACTATTGACAGTTCGTACGTCAATTACAGCACAAGGACAATCTGTAACTAGTGCCGTCTATATGTCAGGCTTAAAAAAATTTCCTCCCCCTGTATCTCATTTATTTTAATTCACTGTCTTGTATTGGTATTTTTTTAAAGAATGTTTGGAGGTCATGATTATCCTCACTCATTCAATTCATCTATTTTCTTTCAAATATTTCTCATTTCTCAACTTTACCGAGAATAAATTTACTTCTAAATCAACTAAATCAGTATCACAATTTGGTATTTTCTTTGTATAATAATCATTGAATATAATAAGCATATAATTAATTGGTTCATATTTTGTGTAATCGTATCCCCTAACTGGAATATTAAAAAGCGGTATTGCACAGGAATGCACAGGAATTATGCGCTGAATTATAATAATTTAAACTATTTGACATAAGAGTTCACTTCATATCTCCATGAATAATTTTGCAGATGAAAGACACTTGCGCCATCTTGCGTCTTTCCTCCAGCGTAATAATTTGTAGAAACAGCAGTTTTGATGCAACCAGTTTTTATTTTTTCCTCAAGAAAACACCTGATTTGTGATCATGCTGTAATCTGGTCATGCTGTAATCTGGAAACCATCCCCGATCAGAAATGGTAGGTCACATGCTTCACACACGACCACTGTCGCACAGTGTATACTGTATATATATATTAATTGAATCGTTTGTTTCAATGTAAATTCATTTCATTACAATTTTTAGTATACAGGATGTTATGTAATTCATAGACCATGGGGAGTGCAGAAATGAATGAGTGAGGATTAAAGACTATAGTTCTATAGGAGGATATTGCGTGCATATCTATATTTATTGTCAAATATTTGCGACACATTGGTTCGTATACGAATATGAAACCACTTTTTTCAAATATGCCACCAATACATTCCAATATATTATACAAAATACTCTTGTAAATACCTAGGGGCAAATCACCATTTTCAAATATTTGCCCTGATTTACGACATTTGTATACTTGACTGTGTAAATGCAGCTAATGAGAATATCTCATTTATCACGAAATTAAAAAAGAACTAATTAACTTCAAGTATAAAATATTCAGAATTTTAATATTATCAACTTTATTTTATTTTGGTGTCCGAAATATTAAAATTATGCTGAAATAAATATAATATTACTAACTTAACCTAACTTTCGCTTTGCAAATGTTGAACGTGGTTGAACGTAATAACTTTAAACTGTCTAGTGGAGATGGTAGTGAATTCGCCGCACAAATAAAAGCTTTTTGACATCGGTCGATTTTCGATATCGGTCTGGTTTTGACGTCAACATTTGCAAAGCGAAAGTTGGGTTAAGTTAGTAATATTAAATTTATTTCAGCATAATTTTAATATTTCGGACAACAAAATGAAAAAAAAAGTTGATAATATTAAAATTCTAAATATTTTATACTTGAAGCGACTTGAAGTTAATTAGTTCAATTTTATTTAAGCCATTTCCAACAAGCTATCTAGAAGCCAACAATGCCGCATTTGTGATACATTTGTTTATTTGCTCAACATTTGTTGAATTTGCGATACATTTGCTGCATTCATTGAAAGCACAGCATATTTATTCAAAAATGATGCATTTGTTTTCATGATTTGCCCCTAGGTAAATACTAGAGTACAAGTACTTGCTAGAGTACAAATTGTAAAAATATATATTATTGAAAAGAGAATGTTTTAAAGAAAAACCGAAAAAATGGTTTTGTCTTGATTTGTATAATTAAAAAAAATGTTTTATTTTATTTATTTTATTTTTTATTGTGTGTTTTATTTATTTATTTATTTATCCGTGGATTATGTACATTAAACTAATTTCGAACAATAAGTTCATTGTGCAAGAGTCTCGAGTATAAAATTTTCGTTAATATTTGGTACTAGATTTTATTTGATGTCGAAAAAGCAGTTTTTATTTCAGTCGATTTCATAACAAAAAAAAGAATGTAATATCACATTTTAGGCAAATGGAAAATGCAGATCTAATTACGATCTTATTTGAAAAACGAGGCGTGAAAACAACGTTTCACTTCGATATTGTTGCAGCTACTCCATCAACTAACGTATCCAAATCAGATACAATTTGTTTATCTTTCGCCTCATTATGCCATTTAATAAAAGTAGACATAGCATCACTAGAATAAAATTCAAATGAATTTAATATTAAAAATGAATCAAATTCTTTCATTTTAACTCTATCACATACCATTCTTTCTTTAAACGAGTAAGGACATCTTTTCGTATTTTTTTAAGCTCCTTAAAATATATAATCAAATCATCACCTTTGGAATCAAGCCTAAAAGTTAAAGTTAACATTTGAGATAAAGATAGCATAAGGAGATCATAATTTTTGAGCTTACATCTCTTTAGCCGCTTCCTTTTTCAACGCTGAAAGTGCTTCATTGAATTTCGATACTTGTGTATTGAATTTTGATTCGCGCTTGGGTTTCTTTGGCTTATGGGAATCTGCACCCAAAGTCGATTCGGAAGTTGAATTTGAATCAGATAGATTATTCTTCGAACCCTTGACTTCTGGAGAATGCTTTTTCTTTGGTGCATTTTTCGCAGTTGTATCACGCGATTCAAATTCTTCACTGAAAAAAATTGCAATAAATGTAATTTTGAAATTACGAAGAAAAATTTGTGCAATACAAACATAAGCTTGGATAAATCACACTGTGTGTCACTCAAAATCTGACAGAAACGAGACCAGTCGGTTTTACATAATTTGAGGGCGCTGATTTCAATGGCATCATTCGTTTTCCCCCATCACGTCAGGTTTTTCCACAATTTTCCTCGGAAGTTTCCCAGAAAACCCAAATTGGCTGTTTATACTCTAGTAACATTTTGAATTCATGCAATATCCCAGAGGGGTGACCTATCAGGCGTTGTAGAACCGTTCAAGTAAAGTCATGCCAGACAATTCGTTTTAGAAAAAATTGAGTCATTTGAAAAAAAATGATTTGGTTATTCTCCTCTGAAGTCCACATTTTGAAGTAAAATTGGTATGAAAATGAGTACTTGGGGGCTTTTTTGGCATGAAATTGGGGTTGAATACACTTACCATACAAAAAGTACCCAAAATAGTCAAAAATGACCAAAAATGTCAAATTGTGGTAAGTGTATTCCAATCTAATTTTATAGCAGAAAAAGCGTCATATACAGTCTTTTCATGCCAAAAAACCCCCAAATACTCATTTTCAGAGCGTTTGAATGGATACCAATTTTACTTCAAAATGTGAACTTCAGAGGGGAATAACCAAATCAATTTTTTTCAAATGACTCAATTTTTTCTAAAACGAATTGTGTGGCTTAACTATACTTGAACCGTACTACAACGGTCATCCCTCTGGGATATTGCATGAATTCAAAATGTTACTAGAGTATAAACAGCCAATTTGGGTGTTCCGGGAAACTTCCGAGGAAAATTGTGGAAAATCCTGACGTGATGGGGGAAAACGAATGATACCATTGAAATCAGCGCCTCCGAATTATGTAAAACCGACTGGTCTCGTTTCTGTCAGAAATTTGAAGTTGAAAAATGACGCACAGTGTCATCATCAGTTGCTCTGATAGTTTTAATCAAAATACGCACTTTCTGCACAAATCGTTCATCAATTTCATCAATGATACTGTCAATCAGAAGAAAATGTGAAAAAAACATTACAAATATATAAAAACATCGCTTTTTAAAAAACTTACAGACACATATTTCTCATTAGAAGTTCAAGATCTATAGATGCATCATTCAAATCCATTATCTTGCTCGTTTTTAGAGGCGCTGGAGATATAAATCCAATTTGAACAGACGGGGTCGAGGGTTGATTAATGGATGTGGTCATTGTTTTTGAATTTTTTTCCTTCGACTATTCCGAACAAAATATGTAATGAATAAATTTTGAATCATCTATATTCACTCATCTACTAAAAACATCTAATCTGCAATACTTTCTGTTATTTTACAATTTGTCTTATGATATTAATATCTCACCAATTTTATTACCTTCGTCATACTCAAAAGTTTGTAAATTTATTAAAGTAGGTATTGTTTTGACACTCCGTTTTTATTTATTAACCAAATTAACTAAAAAAAATGAAACCGAGAAGTAAGACCAAGGTTTTAGTAAACAAATTCGTAGCTTGACTCATGTCAAAATTTATTTATTGAAATTTTTTCTTCTCTGGTTTGAGATTTTTCTTTTCTACATGCGAGACCCACAAAAAAATTTCATTCACAGACGCGAAACATATGGAACTAAGAAGCAAAATCGTTTCTATGCATCAAATCTCGTCTGTGATTGTCTGATTGATTTAGCCGCCTTCGTGTTTTTATTATTCGTAGTTGTTATGTTTAAGAAAATTGATTTAATGGAAGCAGCCAATTTACATTGAACGTGTTCAAATTTTGAAATGGGCAAATGGACAAAAATTAAATTATTTTATAGCTGAGGTGAGTAATACTTTGAATACAAATGTTGATATGGGTATACTATACAAATGTCAATGTTTAAATTAACAATGTTCGAATACAGCATGTTTCATATATGTACGAATCAATAAGTAATGGAACACAAAGGAAAATGAATCGAAGGAATGGATCAGGAATTGTAGAGTAATGGAATAGTAAATTTTAAGTAAGTATGCCTTGCCCTATACTCGTCTCTTTAAGTAACATGAGTATTCATGAGTGTACTTATTCCATTAACTACGTTACCAATAACTACTTCGTTACCATCAATTACTTCTTGTAATTAAACAGTATTTAAAACTAGACAATATTAATATTTATATATTGTGATTGTAAAACTAATAATAAATTTATATATAAATATAAATAATATTTATTTTTTGTTACTGCAACACTAATAGTATATTTGTTTAATTACTAATTTTTATTTAAGTACCTCTAATTTTATTGTAATGTAAATCGTTGACGTTTGCTGTTAAAAAGAATATAAGAGCGAATGGATTCATTATTATGTATGAAAAACAAAATTAAAGTAACGTGTGGCAATCAACAAGAAGACTACTATGCGACTCATTCAAATCACAAGAATGTCTTCCATAATTCGTTTGATATATGAATCTGTGATATGTTTTGGTTCAGGAATCTTAGGTTTTGGATATGTTCTCCTTGGTATCTTGACTAAAACTGATATAAATATTCTTGAACAAATGAATAATATATCATTTTATCATATTATAGATGGAAATAGAAGTAAAATCCTCAAATATATCACATTTTCATGGATTAGTGCTGCAGTTCTTTGCTCTTTAATTCAACGAAACAGACAAAAAACATTGAGTGAACGAAATGTAATTTTAATTACAGGATGTGATTCTGGTTTGGGGTTTGTAAAATTCAAATAATTTTCTTACAAGCTTCAAGTAATTATTATATTATTTCAGATTCAATATGGCTCTTTATTGTAACCTCAAGTTGAATATGTTTGTTTGTGCTGCATGCTTAAATACAAGATCAGAAGGCGCACTCCAGCTATTGGCACAATGCAATCCGAAGCGATTTCTACTCCTAGAATTGGATATAAGAAAAAGTGCCAGTATTTTACACATTGAAAAAACTATAACGAATCTACTTCAAAGTGATGATAATTTAGGTAAAACATATTTCATTTGTTTTTTTTTATAAGGTAGTGAGTAAATACAGTTGTTATATCTTTATATTTTAGTGCTCAGCTATTTAGTAAATAATGCCGGCGTTATGTGCTTTGGTGAATTTGAGTGGCAAACCAACGCAATTGTTGAACATCAAATAAATGTGAACCTTTTTGGAACGATGAATTTCACTCGAAGTTTTTTATATTTGGCACGAAAATATAAGACGAGAATTATTAATGTAACAAGCCATTGTGCGCTTGAGGTTTGGTATTCCATTATATGTTCAATTAATCCTTTGTTAATGATAGTCATATAAACGTCAGTTCTCTTTTTTTCGTAATTTATACAATTATAGGCATTACCAGGCTTGGCCACTTATGCAGCTACAAAAGCGGGTTTAAGATACTGGAGTGATTCTCTTAGAGTGGAAGTAAAAAAATATGGCGTTGAAGTTGTTAATTTCATCCCTGGGTCACAAGTTATGTGTACGAATATAAGTCCCACAGTATTTGAGTACAAACTTAATATATGAATGGGTAAGAATAATCATGACCTCCAAACATTCTTTAAAAAAAATACCAATACAAAACGATGAATTAAAATAAATGAGATACTAACTCGCGTTTAAAATAAATCTGATACTTGAAAGATATTGAAAATAAAAGTGGTAAAAACTAATTTGTGCATTATACCGAGCTCTGTAACTTTTGGTTCCGTGAACGGATTTGGTTCAAATTTGTGATTTAGAGGTTTGAAGAATGGTACTTCTCAAAAATAATATCAGTTTGGAAAAAGTGACACCTTTCATTCAAAAAGTCACGTCATTATCAAACTGCCTAGTACATGGGCGGCTTGTATGAAAAACACGGAAGACCGCTGAAATGGCAAATGCAAAATACGTACGTGTTTTTCATACAAGCCATAAAATCGTGAAAAATAAAAAAAAAATTAATTTTATTATCCAAGCGGGGTTGACGTATATGAGATTGGGAACTTTTTTATGCGAACGCAGCTGATCAGCGCCATCTAACATTAGTTCGAATTAGATCGAAAAACTGAATTTAATTCTGTAGCATTGAAATGAAAAAGTGAAAAAACAACAACA